GGGAGAAATCACAGGAAGGTATTTCCTTTTCTCCAAAGTCCAGCAACGTAAAGCATGTGAATATGCAGCTCTTGAATTAAGTACTTAACACGAAAGACCTAAAAATAAACTGTAAAACTTGATACTGGAAAACTAGGTATGAGCGACCAACATATACACGGCTGAGTCTGTGAGTACTTTGTGAACGATAGGTGTAAGAAATTGCTGAGAGCGTGGATTTAAAACATCTCCATTACCTAAAAACCCACCTCTAGAATTTCTTGAGACTTACGCTATCAGTTGTTCAAAAAAAAAAAAAAAAAAGAAAGAAAGAAGGTTGTAACAAATGTTATTAAAAAGGAAAAACCAAAAAAAAAAAAAAAAGGCGGAAAGCCTTAATGTCCAAAGGAGCGCACGTCCGAGTTGGATTTAATTCATGGCTGCAGGGAAGAAGCTGCTGTCCTCCAAGAGCTTCACCACGGCGGATCTATTGTAGAGCTTGGCCAGGTCGTAGGCGGTGGCCCCCCGCTTGTTCTGGTGGCCCACCTTGCACTCCGTGCACTCCAGCAGGAACTCCACCACCCGCACGTGCCCCTCCCGGGCGGCTTTTTGCAAGGGCAGGTTGCCCTCGTCATCCTCAATGTTAACGTCAGCTTTAAACTCCAGCAGAGTCTGCAAAGTGTCCAGAAACCCCTCTCTGGCTACATCATGAATTACAGCGAAGCCAGTACTGTCTTTCAGATTGGGGTTCGCACCGTTAATTAGTAACCTCCTGGCAATTTTGGGGTTCCCGAGTTTCATTACCTATGAAAGAAAAAGAAGAGTTGAATAGCGCGGGGTGTGTGTGGGGGGGTGTTTGCTTCAGCGCTGGGTTTAGATCCTCATTTCTCATCTCTGGGTTTTGTTACGGCTCAATCCTCATTTGAAACAGACAGAAGAGCCCCACTGTAAAACTAACGAGACACAAGAACATCTATTTTTTTAATGTATTTTTTACTAAACTCGGAGAAATGGTGAAAGATCTTATCATTTCGGTGCTAATAGCTTTCTGCCTCAGAAAGATTAATATCTGAAACAGGCGGTGTAGAATGGG